TTGGAGTTTACAACGAAATCAGTCATAGGAAATAATTTTAAATAATATATAGTGTCACAATATTTAACAAGGCTGTATCTTTTTGTCTCCGCTCACCGGTCAATCCCATTTTAAGTTAAATTGTCACCCGACAAGCTCACTTCAAATACTAATTTCAGAATATCATTGTGCTTAGGAGATAACACGCTGTTTTAGTGCAAATTTTATAAGACGTTAAAAAACTGATCATTTACCAACTTTAGAATGTAAATCAAAAAATCACTGTTGCAAGTGGGTTCCTACCAGTCATGCGAATAAAAGCTACTTGGTCAACTTAACTAAGCTTAGAGAAATTGATAACCAATTATAATAGATTATTAGAGACTGAACCTTCATTAACTATGATTCCACTGACTTTTAGAATATCTCATTTATTTTAAATGCTTGGTTTAAGTTGTCTAATTAACTTTGTATGCAATGATTGCATTAATCTGAAATCACTTCTTGATGAATAACGTAGATGCCACACCGAAAAAAGATAATTAAATTACGTTATTTACCATTAAGTTTCAACTCAATGTCATACATGACTTTCATATTGTCCTTATTAAAATAAGTGAATCAACTAAGCTGTGGATTTTATTTTACACTTGGCAGCTAGTCATAGTTAGAAAAACGTACTTGGGGCTTTTTGATACTCATTATCAAACTCAGCTGCATGTTGTTCCTTATACTAAAAGAAACGAGTCGGAGAATTCCTTCTGCAGATCCATAGATATACAATATATTTAAGTACGCTTGAAGGCATTCATAAGAGATTTACTGATATGTTCGATAATATTTCTTTCTTTACGTATCACTTCAACTGATAGGTGACGAGATAGTTTCAGCGTGAAGTCGTAAGTGCGGGCGCTAGTATAAAAAATCTGTTTACTGCTGGATAGTTCTAATAATATCTAATCCGAAGTGACGAATACGTTCTTCCGATTAGAAGACCTACAAAACCACTTCATCTAAACAACTTGTATATGTATGATTATGAAAAAATAAAGCGCAATGTTGCGTCACCTACATATGTTTCGTGCGTATTACTTTTACATTTAAATGGAAAAATTTGGAAGAAATTTTAGTGAGGCTTCGAAAGTAATTATGATCATCTTACGTTAATACTTCTGAATTTTTCTTTTAAAAATATTAATGAGAAAAACTAATTAACTAAAACTTTGACAATAGCCTGTCAAATTCAGGGTTAACAGATTGTGGGAAAATTTTATTTCAACAAGTCAGTGAACTACGCGTTTGAGATATTTATTTATTTATTTTGACACATAAACATTGGTACAATGAGACACCAAATACATATGCGCCAAACAGATCTCACATGATATGTGTGAGAGCTGTAATACTGCCCGGGTGCCCAAACCGAAGCAGGTGGTTTTCTTAGGAGGCCATTCCCCGAGCCTTCGACCTGCAGGTACGATCCACAAGGCAGTGGAGCATCGTAAGGAGATGCAGTCCCATGGCAGCCAGTGACCGACGATTGGTTCATACGCAATTCGTTCCCGCAGGATACTGGAGCCCGTGTGCACCATTGGTCTGGAATCCGGTTAAAGCGCCGGACATTCGCTTTTCGTCCTCTCATTTTCGTGAACAACACCCCCGCCACGAGAAGGCAGTGAGTAGGACTTCCCTGGCAGAAGCTATATACGCGTGGCCATGTGAGAGCATTTCGAGAGGGAGAGCTTACTCTGCCCACTCTCGGCCATACCAGGGCATTTAGGGGCTTTGAGATATTTAGTGCGACCAATATATAAGTCTGTGGAAACAAACTGAAGAAAAGAAGTCGCAAATTACAATTAATCGGTAATTAAATAATGAGCAATGCTGTTTTGTATACGTTAAAACTAGTCTAAGTGATATGACAGCTCATACATTATGTCGAGGTTTATAGTAATTGATGTAATCAATAGTTAACTCTGGATCTAGATTTCATGCCACTTGGCATTGGTCAGGAAGGTGTACCTGTAATCTTGAGAAAACTGATGCATCCTGTGGGATTTAAACACACGTCAACCAGCTTTGCAGTCATAGACGTTACCACCAAGCTATTTGTTCCGCGACTGACTTGTAAAACAAATATTTTTACAATTTATCGATTGCCGAATAGTGGATAACGTCATGTTTGTTTAGCCCTTTTTTAATAATCAGGAAATAGCAATGAATTAGTTTTTTTGAAAATGATCCATAAATAATTTCTTGTAATGTTGTCATCAATACAAAAACTTTCAGTCACATTAACTGTGAATGACAGACGTTATATATGTATGTGTAGTAAATAGAATACTAATGAACTACAAATTATTAAACTATTTTAAGGAACGTTAGAAAATGAATTAAATATTTTGTTTAACTTTTTTATATAACATTGTCACCTGTAACAGAACCAAAACAAAATCTATTGAATTTTTGAAATAAATTTCGTATATTACTGTTAGATGTTCAGAGCATTAATTCCAGAATGTGGGTTACTTCTATGATGTTATGGAAGAAACAGTGACGTAGTTAAATAGCGTGAAAGTAGTTCAATAGAGTAGGTGAGTTTATGATTTTTGACCCTCGTGATCATTTCATTACCTTATATATTTTTTATTAATTCATTCTAACCATGTAAAAACATTCCTCGAAAGAATCTCGAACTAACTTTCTGGGTGAAACGTTGGAATCATTTAGATTTCAAATACGAATATAAAATTTAATGTCATCACTGTATTTGACGCCCAAATTCTATCGAACAATTCATTCAAAGTATTTTGTAACTGTTATATTGTTTGTCAAATGTGACAAGATGAAAATGTTACAATTTTGTTCGTTTTATTCTTTTGGACTTAATCAAATGAGAATAATGCTAAATAAATTAGTTTGAGATTTCGCTCATTTTATAGAACTTCAGTGGTGAGAAAAAAAAGCAGATTCATGAACTCATATGATTATGATTGGAAATATGATAATAACTAACCTAAGGAAGTCAATAATCAACAACAAAAAAAGATTTGTACGTTAGGGTTAGTCATACTGTAGTGAACAGAACACGGGTGGGGACAATCGAATGTATTTAGCATAAAATTACAGAGTTACTCGGTAAAATAGAAAAACCAAATAGTAAATCGTTAAAAAATATAAATCCATCATATCAACCTAAACTGTTCCTGTTGCAAACATCAATCCATTGTCTCACATTTCATTATTCATGCGTTTTCTCACAAATTGTATTGTGTTCCCGCTCTTCCTTTCTTGATCTTCCCCCATCTTCTGCTGCCAGACATTATGTTCTTTAACTCGCGACATATACTACTTACATCAATATAAGTAGCACACACCATAATACTTAATATCAGATAATCAATCAGATATACGTACAACTGACCAGTCAACTACGCTAATTTGAAGTAAATTACATAATATCATAGATTTAAAAGTCTACACTTATTAACATTTCATATGATACTACAAAACTATATGCCAAATGAATGCATCATACTTTAATTTCCTTGGTTATTTCTTTAAAAGAAAGTTACCATCCAAATGAATAACGCTGAACCTATCTATCTATTTATGTATACATTTATATACTGTCTATCCATACGGTTTAATTTCATAAATTCCATTGCATTACATTATCATTTATTTGGATGATAATATTACAATTAATGTAAATACATACATACCAAGTACAACTAATATTTACGCTCTCATTGTGTTGTTAATGAATCCGTGATTATTTTTGAAATACAATTAGAATTTATCAATATAAATAAAATACCAAGTCAATTACATGAGTATTTCTGTTAAAACAAATCATGTGGCAAACAACAAGAGATCGATATGATATATAGACCCAATAACTACGCCTCGAGTCCCTCCGGGAGCTACTGCCGGAACCAATGTTAGTTATGTAAGAAACTAAGTATTTACTATGAACGTAAATGATCAACGTGTATTACTTTGTTTCATCTAAATCAAAAAAATATTAGAAAACAGTTTCGATGAAATTAATTTATTCAAAATTCACAGTATGAATAAAAATTAATAACTTACAAAGTAAATTCTTTATTATTTTTCGTAACAGTAGTAGTGAAATAGGGAAGTAAGCTAAAGTATAAGCAGAATAAACACAATAAAATATGATTTCCTCTGATAATAATAATTTATCAAGAATATGTTTTAACAACACAAGAAAGAGGAGGAGAGAGAGACCAAGAGTTAGGAGAAAAATGCTTATCACTACTATCTGAATTTTCTAGTGAAATCTTTATTTGTCTGACAATGCAGTATGTTATGTATGTTTAAGTAGGTCGGTAAGTGTATATATCCAATTACATATATATTTTTATAAGTAGTATTTTATTGAATATCAGTAGTTTGAAAAATGAATCTGAGTATAATACTAACGCTAGTTTGTTAACAATCATCATAACAATACTGAAAAGATTGGATAGAACGCTTGAAATGAAAAAAATAAATTACAATACAACAGGAGAATAAACACAAAACATATACACACACCAACTATGATAGTGTACTGGAAGACAGATTTTTTCAACAATCAGTAAATTTTAAGGGAAATTAAGGAAAGATACAAAAGGTTTATTAAACACACACACACATCGATATTTACGGAAAGAGATGAAAAACGTCTGATGGAAAGAGAAAAGAAACGAAATAAACAGATGTGTTGTGTTATATATCACCGGATGTCATATTATTGATTTAAGTTAGAGATTATAGACATCTATGTATAAACTGAGGTGTTTATATGCGTGAAATGAAAAAAAAAGTTGGAAAGCAACATGTATTTGGGGTGAGAGTGGGCCATGAGACAAACACAAACACACACACAGTAACACCACAGACAAATACCAAAATCAAAATGCATGATGATTGGCAAATGTGCAAATTAATAAAATGGACATATATCATCTTAATTTGTAATAATAATAATAATAATAATAATAATAATAATAATAATAATAATAATAATAATAATGCATGATACTAATAGAACTTCAGTTCTATTTTCTTTGATTATAGAGTACTGTCCAATGAATGAATTAGTATTTTGCCAATTATTTTTTCAATACGAAATTCATAAAACTAGGAAAAAACTTAATTAATTAGAGTAAAATTATAATTTAAACAATTGTACCAGGCCAAGAAATCACTTGTAAAACAACATCTCCTGATGCTTGTTTCAATAAACGAACTGCAGATGAATGGCGAATATTAAGCATGGATATGTTATTCACAGCTAAGATTATATCACCGCATCTATTTTACAGAGAGAGAGAGAGAGAAAAAATTACTGAATTAATTACAAGCAGGAAATATTGACTATATAGACTTTTAAAATAATGAGGAATAGCTTTTTTGAACATACATTGTTTGTAAGAGCAAAAACTATTTATCTTGTGAACATAAATGAGAAATGATTATTAGTTAAACCAAATTTTATCTCTCTTATGTAATTTCGATAATGACATATATGCACATACACACAGACACTTGGAACCTGTAGTTTAACAATGAAGTTTTCCGTAATTGATTTGAAAATAAATATAAAACTGTTATGAATTAAAATTTTATGAACGAATTAACAACTGATAGATACAACTTAATGATGCCATAAGACCCTATAATAATTGTCCACAACATCGGTTTACTGACGTATGGCATTGAATAATTTGGAATCTAAGACTAAATCACTAACTAGAAGAGATTTTCCATTTTTAAAAAATGAAACGTTTAAATATAAGATACTAATAACCATAATAAGATGTTACGAATAATTGGAGAATATAAATTTTGAAGGTTTCTTACTATCTATAACACTAAAACATTTTCTCTTATATCAGAAACCAGACCATCTAATGTATTTAATGAAAATTTATGTTTCACTTATGTAGAGAAAGAGATAGTTATCCATGATAAAACTTAAAGATTGTTATGCTATTTTCGAAAAATAGTTGGATAAAATTTTCGACTCATTTTCAAAGTTTCTGCTTTCTCTCCTAAGATTTGAAAGCCCTGGGTACGATTGAACGTGGGGATCGCAACTGTACTATAATGTGAATTTTCAAACAAGATCCAAACATCTGTCTTTAGCTGCTTGGTTTTTAATAGGTTCTTGGATCGATAACAGTTCGTGATAAAAATATCCTTCAATCGAATCCTCCTTTAAGTATTTGTAAAAATTCTCATGTACAATATGACAGAAATGAATAATAATGGTTTAATAATTGATTTTTGAACATTAGCTGTTGATATTTAGTCAGGAGTGCGGAATGAACTCTTTAGGACAAGGATATCATTTCGTTAATGAAATCGGTAAAGCGAATACTGATTTTTGCTAATTTTTATATAAAATGACATTAAATTTTTGGTTGAATATAAATTACACATTATGGTTCACAAGAAAGGATTATTGAAACTGATGCTCCATTGGGAACAGTTAAACATAGTTGATTTGGTGTAACGATATTTCCTAGACACACGTAGTTTTCGATTAAACATAAAGGTTATGCTAGTTAGCTATTGATAGAGACTGGAGTATATTAAATCCTGACGAAGAATAAATGAATGGTGAATGCTAGGACCTGCTTATGGATTATTATTAGGTACATTCTTAATGGATAACTATTGAGCAACTATATTATAGGTGTATTCATATTCTTTTTATTATAAGCTTCCATTTGACTTAATGAATATGATTCATACGATTTACTATCCTTAAGTTATTCCTAATTTATTAGTTACAGTCTTTCACACTCACACCCACTTTTGGCTTGATCTTGTTCTGCTTGCGTATAGGCTAAGTATGTCAGAAATATATGATTCAAACAGTGGGAGGTGAAATTGTATCCTGGACACAAACAGATAGGGTTGGGAGACAAGAACCAATAAAGACTCAGAGTTGACTCTGGGCTGCTCGTATTGGCTAACGTGTCATTGGTTTGGTATGGTGTCAAGGCCATATAAGTCGTTTTCTAATTGGCAATTCAGTCAAGTGATCATAAACAGAGCAAAAGTTATAATAAAGCAACATTGAAAAATCATTATATATCCATATAACATGTAATTATGAAATTTTCATTTGTAAACTATTTCATTAGATTAATGAAATGGAAGATTTATTTTATGAGAAAAATATGTTCACAATTGAGAATATTTATTTATTTATTTGAACATATAAATATTGGTACAAGAGGGCACAAAATATATATGCGCCACGAAAAACAATGAGAAGGGGAAGAGAAAAAAGGAAGGTAAATGTAAAATAAAAAAAGAAGAACAAGAACGACGAGATTAGTGTAAGATATTGTAGTAATAATAATAATAATAATAATCATAATAATGGAGGAAACGGAAATGTATAATCAGAAGAATTCTTTAACTTAAGGAAGATAAAACCACTTTTTATGAAGAAAGTAAATGAAGGTTACAGCAGGATCGCCATTGGCTTCTATTCTGAGCCATATCTGATAACGTCTCTAGACACTGTGTCGCGCTATCTCTCAGACCCCAGCCAGGGAGTCGTGAAGAACCAACAGAAGCCAGTCCTTTGCAGCTTTCTTTCATGCCACGACACCATGTCATGCACTGACCACCTCCCCACCTTTTCCAACCAGTCCCAGAGTCAGCAAATAATGCACGGCATGGAGTTATCTGGGACGACATTCGTAGAACATGTCCAAGGCACCGAAGTCGGTGTTCCAAGATGGCGACACCAATTGAATTATCATCTCTGTGCCCGAACACACGATGCCGAGCATTACTGACATGATGTTGCCACTGAATGTCAGCAATCCTTCGGAGACAGCGATGATCGAACACAGAGAGTCGTCTAACGTCCTCAACTCGGAGAGACCAGGTTTCACAAGCATAAAGCAAGACTGCTCTCACTGACGCGTTGTAGATCCGACCTTTTACAGCCAGACATAAGCCGCTCTGGCTTTCGCTATACGTGCATTGATCTCATCACTCACACCCCCACCAGCACTTATACAGCTACCCAGGTACACAAACCTCTCGACTAGGTCTATCTGCTCACCATCCAGGGTGAGTACAGGATTGGAATCCTGACAGTCGAGAAGTTTTTCTCCAGTCAACAAATCCACACCGCCAGTACTAACATTCATCAGAGCTGTTTCCAGAATGTCATCGATGGCAAAGTTGAAGAGGAACGGTGGGATTGGGAAACCCTGCCTAACCAAACTGCTCGAATGGAAGAATGGAGAAAGGTGATTGTATGCCCTCACTCTGTCTGAGGTGTTTGTAATATGAGGCTCTAAGATATTAATAAACTTCTCAGGTACACCGTTCTTCAATAAAACAATCCCAGAGAACAGTCCTGTCCAACGAAACGAAGGCAGCCCTAATGTTAAGAAACATCACGATTGTTGGCCTGTGATAAGTGTGACGATGTTCTAACATTTGGCGGAGGGTGAAGATATGATCAATATATCCTCGACCAGAACGAAAACCAGCCTGCTCCTCGCGAGTCCATCTTTCTCTGAGTTTGAATAACCTTCAAATTTTGACAGAAGCCAATACTTTGGACGCATTCGGAAGTAGACTTATCCCCCGATAATTGTTACATGAACGACGTAAACAGTTTTTAAAGATAGGGACAACTATCGACTCATTTCCTGACGTTGGCACACTCTAGTTCTCAGACATCTGTAAACAACACAGTTCCGCTCACACCAGACTTCTTGCTGCCAGTGGCTCGAATGAGTTGGAAGATCTTCCGGCAGAACCAGATGCAGTTGCTGCTTCCAGCTTATTAGCACGTTCCCACCACCAGGCTTCTCGGTCTTTACGCAAGCTTTGCCCGATTTCATTGCGTAACAGTCGTCGTTTGTGGTCAAACTCACGGTCACCCGGAGTAGACCGACGGGCTTCAATGAGTTGTTAGGAACCTGAAGAAACCCAGTGCTTATAAGCAGGACGCTTCGCAAAGCCGTAAGCGGCTTTACTCGCCATTTTCATGGCGTCATGAAGTTGTAACCAATGCTCATCTATACTTTTTGGTGGAATGGTAGCTAGCCTAGAAGCTAGCTCGATTCGATACTTACTAGCAACAGAAGTTGCAACCAACTTGCCGACATCAATCCTTTGGTGGCGGTCACTTCGTTGGCCATTGAAAAGTAAGGTAAGATTGGCGCAGACCAAGGCATGATCAGAGTCCAGATAGGTATTCCAAAAGGAGCAGCAGTCTTGTACAGAACCACGCCAGCGGTAGCTGATCGCGATGTGATCAATCTGAGTCCAGGCTTGAGATGCAGAGGAAGGACGCCAGGTGGCGCATCGGCGATGACTGTGCCGGAAATTAGTACTAGCCAGAAACAGGTTGTTGTCTGTGCACAGTTGCAGTAGACGGTCTCCGTTATCTGTCCTGCGACCAACAAGTCCCCATCGGCCACCTAAACGATTCTCTTCGGTGCCTAGACGCCCGACCTGAGCATTCAAGTCTCGGGCTAGTACTACAATATCTGTCGAACGCACTTTCTGGAGAAGAACAGTTAACTGGTGGTAGCTTTTCGAAGCGACAGATGGAGAGCGAATTTGTAGTACTTCACCAGAGTCTTGAATACGGGTCACGGATAGACAACAAATGTCGATATTAAGACTTTCCAAAGACATAGCCAGCCCTATCTGTTTTCCGACTTGCATAATTGTGCGAACGTTGAAGGCAGCCATTTTGAATGATGCACGTGGTTTCAGAAAAACTGCTTCAGTATTCGTATTTGGTGGTAGCATATAATTTTCAACCAGGTAGTGACTTGAGAACGTCTACATAGAACCGAGTTTCCACCATAGGCGAGCTGCTATAGAAAAGTTATTTTTATGCGAAGAATAATCAATTAAAATGATTAAAAGTCAAATAAAAATAACAGGATTCACAATGACTTTTACAATTGAACATTAAGAAATGTAAAATTCATTCTTTTAACGATTAAATAACATTCATTTAGTTGTATGGTTAAAATCCTCTTTTATAGACTGAACAAGTGATTAGGACAACCGATTTTCGCATCAGAAGTGACATTTAAGTATTGTAATCCATTTAACTAGTAAAGATTTACGTACTTATCTAATCGATGACTTAAGTTAAACTAGGTAGTTCATAGGATGAATTTACAACTTTGTGAGTCGACTCTTCATTTCATTTGAAACCAAATGTCTGAAGTGGAACCATATGAGAAAATGTAGTCGAATAATGAGACGCACTTACTTTAATCGACCGTCTTTGTGAGCTAGAAGACCAGGAACTATAGATTTTATCACAATAGGTGAGGGATATAGATTTGAGTAACCCACTTTCGAGGATACTTTTGGAGATGATTTACTCAGTTTTTCATCTGAATTATTTGAATTTGCTTGACTTGTTGTACTTTGATCATGACCTAGACCGCCAACAATACTGAAACCAAGTGGTTGAGAGATAGAACAATCACTGTAGCTAGGAGTACTAGCTTGTCGTCGAAGAAGTATAACTCGAGCAAGTTGACATACTGGAGGTAATCGAAGCCAATATGTCCATGATGGCATGAAATTCTCCGGACCATCACTTGTCTCAGGAGCCGTAATCACACGTAGTTGTATATGTGTTTGCATTGAACTAATTCGTCTAAGAACTTCCACAGCTTCATGATGAGTTAGCCCAACTAAACCTATACCATTTACTTCTAACAGAATATCACCTCTTTGAATCTAAACAAAATTGAAACCAATTTGAATAATCATTAGATATTTATGTAATTCAAACAAATAACAATAGTTTTAATATATTTGGATAGTGGCTAATAACGAAATCCAGAACACATTTATTAACTTGTTACCTGGTTGTATCTACATCCCAATGTTGATGTTCATTACATTCAGTTTATTTAACCACTAATTTCGTTCATTTAGTGTGTTTAATCGTACGTGCGTGCACAATAAACAAAGACTGAACAAAGCTCAATCCTGAATACTGATAACGTGATAATATCAATAATTATGAATAAATAAAAATGCCATTACTAATGCACTATTAATTATGTAATACTTTGTGATATAATAGATACTGGAAAACGAAATACAGGTTTCTTTCAAAAGTATAGCTCAAGAAAAAAGGGAAACTAAACTTATTCAATAGCTTTTGTCAAAAATGGTGAATTGCGCGATTCAAACTAAACTTAATAGGGATGTATTAAAAGACAATTAATTGCTCATAAAACACATATTCTTAGTATACATTCATGGTGATATCAACTCTACTGAAACTGGACATAAGTCATCTGAAATATGTCAGATGTTATAAATTATACAGACAAAATATCCTAATTACAACATACACCATACATGTATCATAATTATTCACATTCAAAAACCATCGTCACTAATTCAACGAAAAATTTGGACAGAGGATTTTTCTATTTAACTGATCCTAAAAAATGACTGCATTTTATGTAAACCCTAACTACACAGTTAAATATTACTATTAATTGAAGATAAGTAGTCAAATTATTTTCATTACTGTTAATTAGAAGAAGTGATCATATTAATGACGATACATTTTTCTTTTTGATTGATAAATCATGATATCCCATGAATTAATCAAATCTCACTGAACAATGTTAAATTCGGAAAAATTTACGAGACAATAAAAGATTATAATACAGTTTGGATTTTGGCAACTTTATATGGTTACAAAATTTCCTGTTGTGAAAAGAATTCAATAAAACCACTATAATAATAATAATAATAATAATAATAATAATAATAATAATAATAATAATAATATTAATAGTAAGACACGAAAGTAAACTTTTGAACCAATAGATTATAAGGGGAATGTAAAAAGAATATTCACATATAGGAATACAAATAGAGATAATTATATAAATTCAGAAAAAGATTTATGCAAAAAATAGAAAAGATAGAAGAAAACGAGAGAGCACGTGAACTAATTGATGATTTTCGCGTGATATATATATATATATATATATATATATAATCAAGAAAAGGGAGATTTTTTTGAAGGAGTACATTACTGATTCACATGATAATAATTATGAGGTAAACTAAAAATAAAAGCCTATAGTTAAGTAAGAAAAATTGAGCGTAAGGAGAAGAAACTGGTAGGAATACCTAAATATATTACCGAGATTAATTTGTTGTTATCCAATAAAGGACGGCATTGTTATTTACTAACTATTAGAATGTGGCTTAATGATTGACGTAATCTCTTTTCAGATGTTCAGTGCTGAGTTCCAATTATAATCTATCTGAATAATTAAATAATGTATGCACTGGATTGGAAATGATGCTAACAAACAAACTAATTAATATATTACGTAAAACTTTTATTGATTTTACGCTGTTTCTGAAACACTTGAAATTTATGCAAGTAAAATGTAACTACCAATTACTCGCAGGTTTTGCTCTCTATCTGTCTCCATATATCTCTGATCTCAATCGTATGCTATTAGAAAAAAAACATTTCACTGAGACTTCAATGGTAGTCGGGTTTGGAATAAAACGGTCCTTTATTTATTTTGATTGAATTGAATCATAAAAGGTGAATACTAAAACGGATATATCTCTACTCAGATATGATAAGAAAAATAATTTTGACCATTAAGTCCAAAGCGATATTAATCGATCATTAATTACAATTAGAAATCTGATCAGGATTTTATACAGGCTATATATTCACATAAAGTTTCATATAATCGGTGCGAAGTATACAAACAAAATACATTGGCTATTCACGTACCAACTTTGATCGACCCAGAACACACTCAGCACTAATATTTGTTACATAGATGGGTGTATCTCCACGCTGTGAATGACGTCCTCCAGCAATCGATATACCCAAGGGTTCTTCTGAACTTTTATTCACAACAATAGTCCTTTCTTGACATGATGATTCAGCTGATGAGGACTAGATACCAAAATGTGGACACCAAAAATAAATGAGAAATGTGCACTATTTTAAGAAAGAATGGGACATTATACAAAAGCTAATAATTAAGTTTATAAGTTGACTTTTCTTCCAAATGCTGTCCATAAGAGTTTGGAAGATTCACATTTAAACAAAGGAGACGAACTAACAAAGAATCAACTCTCTCTCTCTCTCTCTCTCTATATATATATATATATATATATATATATATATATAATAGATGAACTTTTATCACTAAGCAGTGACAACGAAGATCTCAAATGATAAATAACAAGTGTCTTACAAACAAGAGTAAGAAACCTTACAGATTTTACACTACGGATGAGAGATTTCATTGAACAACGGTTTTTATCGGCTTTTTATTTTAACCTTACAATAACTTAAAGAAACTTTACAGCTTTGAAGATAGGTCACTTGATTTATGAATATCGACATATTTGCTATATTCAGAGGAATTATCTGTTGTAAAATGTTGAAGTTAGACATAATAAAAAATAGGGACGTAAACCATTTGAAGGACTTAGCGTACAAGAGGTAAGTAAAATATGTATTTTGGATTAGAAGCATGAGTGGATTTAAATGAAATGGTTACCTAAAGTATAACAAGTCGTAAGGAGTGCATTGTAATGATAGACGTAATAAGCTCTGCTTCAATCGGGGTCAAGTAACAGTTAGAATTAATGTACGAAAGCCTTCGATTATATGACTAACTATTAGTTAGACTGAAGTTTTCGTATGTGACACAGCCTTTTTATTGCTCATTGTTTAACTTCACCAGCTTTGTAATATTTATGATGATAAATCATTTCACCGGGTCATTTGTTGCTTCTCTTTCCTACTTACCTAACGAAATCACTAATGAGTAGTTAAACATTTGAATTATAAATCTCAATAATTGAAATCAATGCAAGTTCCGTTTGTTTGCATGTCATCATAAAATATTTATGAGAGGCGGACGCCGATCACTGCCCAGAGAGTATTCCTATAAGTGAGAGATACTTAGAATTAATTAGTGATTGACTACATTATTCAACTTTTGCAGTCACATCTTTAGAGAAAAATAAATAAATAAAATGGGTTATTGTGCAATCATTGGATTACTTAATAAAATTTATAATATGCGGTTAACACTAACGTAGTAAATGTTATGACGTTCCAGTACTACCAATCTACATCTAATGACCCTAAGTTTAAGTAAAATTACGATTTAAACTGGTGATTGATAGGTAACTAAGTCTAATAATTGTTTTTAAACAGAGGTGGAAGTTAGACAAATGAGAAGTACTAGAAAGGTGGTAAGATCGATAGACCTTAAATTTTGCAAAATAAAGTTTTGAAATCTCACATTAGTATATATATATATATATATATATATATATATATATATATATATATATCACCAAATCAAAACTAATCAAAGCACACAGAGAAAGCTTTAGAATTCTTCTAGTCGCAAAAAAAGTAACTGAGTGGACTCGATTAGCCTGAATTTCCTGGAAACATTTCGAAAATAGGTGAGAACTAAAGAGTGCTAGCTAACCCTATTCCGAAAAAGAGAAGTTCCTCGTTACCGCCGTTTCGATCATCCACAGAGAGAAGCTATGACTACAAAATGCCATGGAAACTATCTCGACATTACTCAGCTATAGTTGTGTCGTACATTTCAACTTCTTAATAGAGACTTCTTTTCATACCGAGTGTGAACAGATATTCTGGACGAAGTTGTATAGATAGCATCCTGTTTAAAACCTATATAGTAATTGAGAAACAAGTGTAAGGGATCTACTTTGAATAACTGCATTATTCATTTAGTCGTGTTTATTACACACAAATCCGTCTACATAATTTTGGACAAATATATGTACCCAAACGTTGCAAGCATAGTTATTCAGCTCTCAACTATGAAGATTTCCATGCAGTTTTAGTCGTATTTCCCTGAGCATTTGGTTACCTAAGAGTATGAGTATGGATTAGTGACTGAGTGGTATAGCAGAAAGAAACAAGTAGAAATCATAAGAAAAATGAAAGGAACACATACGAAATAGACAAAACTAAGATTGGAAGGAAGAAAACACAGTAAAAACTTACAGTAAATTGCTTATCACTGTTTCGACTATGCGGACTATTTGAAGTAGCTGAATCTACAGGATTAGAACGATTTGTCAACTCGTTACAAGTCTGATTCACTCTTTCCGGTCGATGATTCTCGTCAGTTGTCGTTGATGATGACAGATTGAAGCAGGCTAATTTCTGTTCATTTGAAGAATGAATTAATTCTGTAGTTGAATGAGAAGTAGTGTCAGATAGATTTATGTCTCGGTCTTCCAAGCTTGGCCATGCAAAATTTTGGACTGGTTTTGATGATTCACGATTATTATTATTATTATTATCTTGACGTTGATTATTCGAACTGAGCTGCAATGGCTCCAAAGCTAATAAACTATTCTCTGATTTCTCTTCTGAATCTGTTGTAGTTCTTAAAATATCCGGTGTATCAGATCGATTTCGACGGCTTATTTTAAAAATAACATAATCCGAAACAGACTAAAACAAGAAGTGATTAATAAAATAACAAGAAAAAATATATAATCGGGAAAAAAGAAAGGTAATTTTTCAATAGCTGAATATAATCAATGTGAATAACAATAAGTTTAGCTCATGTTTTTATTCGAAATTGGACGATTTTACACATTACAAGTGAGGGTATAACTTTGAATGAAAAGTGATTTTTAACTCATAGACGAGAGAAAAGTGAGATCATAATGTGAAGCCTGTTAGTATTTCAGAAAATAAAACAAAACGAGCAGTTTACAGTTTGGGATGTGAAGAGAAAAATAGTTGTTTCAAAACAAGTATTACTAAAACTAAACCACGTGTACAAGGATTTAACTAGGAGCTCAAAGAGTATTATTTAAACATGTCGCAGTGAATCTGAGCCAAGAGAGTTCCGTTTACGATCTGAATAAATCGGAATAAAATCTACGAAATTCAGCAAAGCTTTGAAATAAAAGTTTAGTAAGACTTCTATGCAAATATTGATAATATGATAATAAACTAAATAGTTGATTACCTTTAAAAAGTTGAACAAATAGATCATGGTGGAAGTCAAGTCACCGAAAACATTTCGGTTACGAGACTAAAACTTTGTTAGTATGTAATGAATGCTACGGAGATTTTTACATTTTCAATAAAGATAAAGGATTAATGAAGTAACTAGGATGTACTGTATTCGTAGACTTATCCTACCAAATGAAGATTTTTAGTTAAGACAGATAACTTATTGTAGCAGACGCTGATGTTATGTAGGACGATCAAGAAAGTTATGCAGTTGAACCATCCAACTCAGAGAACATAATAACAACAAACTACTTATTTGTTGATCGCCAACGGAGATTCATTGTATTGTATAGATGAGAACTACTAATTATAACTTTGTTACGTTTGAATCCATCAGAAAAGTTGACAGATCACCATTGACTGATATATTTAAAATATACTTTATTAATATTCTAATATTCTACCCAGTTACTCATTTATGGGTTATTATATGATAATAAAAATTGAAGTGAAATCTATCTCATTTTCTGTGTGTTGGGACAAAAGCTGTTAATCAGATTGGAGAGTCGTATGACGGGTTGGTAATAGATAAACGATTACTTTATTACCATGATTACAATGTAAGGGATGTATACAGGAATATAGATATTTATAGCAAGATATGTGTAAATTATTTAAATAGGCCTTCAGTTCGTGGACTATATTTTAATTTGACGTCATGTACTTAAAGTGATAAGTATATATTAGGCACGTATACATTCATTTGAATAAAATGTTAAACAATACATGAACTACCGAAAAAAATACTGAAATTATTCGTACATGATTTACTGGTTTCAAATCAATTCACTCTAATCTCTGTTATTATTAAAGTGGTTACAAAATAAAAGCTATAATAGGAAATTGAAGATGATAAAAACTAACGAACTTGACAAAATGTTTTTAAATACACCTGACATGTATACACGACTGAAAGTCCTTGGTATTAATTTTAAGGACTAATATTTTTCCACTGTTGATATTCAAACTTAATTGATCTCGGTTAGCACAGATGGGACTCCAATGAATACTTCAACGTCCTTTACAGTTACAAATTTATTATATTTTGGATAGTATATTTAGCTGACAATGCCCGAATTAAGATGGAAAAAAGAGTTCTGGATTTAACTATTAGTCATTATGATGTCAATAGAGAAGTAAAGAAGCCATGACGAACGACGGAAGCTAGTTTTGCGAATACTATTTCGCTTACGTCAAAGTTTGTGAAATACTAATGTTTAGTTTGTTCTGTCCTTAATCTTTACTAATGATCACCTTATGGTGTCAATAGCCCGAAAATACACTACTATATCATGTTTGTTTAGAATCTTGTTCTGATGTTACACTATGGGGTGACCACGGTAGACTTCCAATCTTTCGGTACATACTCAAATTTAGTTTTTCTTTCATCTCTGATAATCTTCAAAAACTCTTTGGGTTAATTGTAAGCCTTAGGCATAGACGGAATTCCATTGAATTCAAACTGTTGGTCTTCCTTATCTGTAATGAGATTAATATTGCTGTTAATTCGACTTTTTACCGCTGTGACTTTCGTACAATACGCATGAGCCGAACTATAATCTAAGTATCTTTCAGAATGTGTTGATTTCCTGAATACATTTATTTTCAACTTATTGTAATTATGTCTTCGTTCAATTATACAATCGAGAAACGCTAGTTTGTGTCTATTGCACTCTATTTCCTTTGTCAGATTAATGCTCTCCGAAATGCTGTTCACATTTTCAAACACTTTCTAAACTATTCCGTTTAATGATATTAAAAATGTCATCTACATACCGTGGATTTACACATCTTGTGATTGCACCGGTTTCTAGGGAATGCAATTGGAGAAACTAGTGAACCCATTGCTACACCTTTTTGTATGTAAAGTTCTCTAAATGTGAATAACGTGAAACGTAAACACTATTCCAAACACTTAATAACTTCGGATGGATCTAACGGGGATCGTAAATTAAAATATGAGTCAGATTTGAAATAATCATAAGTAATATCCAATACTCTATTGATGAATACATTAGTAAATAAGGAAGAAACATCAAAACTTGGCATCATTCCATCCTCTTTTATGTGGATGGTGTCGATATTATTCTTAAATTCAGTGGATTTTTAATTTCATGATTAATCAATTTGTCATACGGTTTGAGTACCTTAGCTAAGTAGATCTTCGGATTATATGATGGTGAATTTGTAGGATCAACCGCTAGTTTTTGTGGAGTATTATTCATGTGAATCTTTGGTAGTCTATATAATCTACAAGGATTACAACATTTTGGATGTAATATGAACCATAATGACTAGGATTCTGCTAGTTTTAGCCTTAAGTTTATTAAGCGTAGTTCGACCTTAAATAATTCATACAGGCCATCTTGGAGATGTTCCCTGGCTTTTTTTCTCGTAGTCTGACTTGTTTATAGTAACAGTCGTGCTCTCGTAATGATAATTGCCTTATTATTTTTCAGCTGTTTTAATGCATATAATTCATTTTTAGTTAGATTAGAATTGTGTGGTTTTTAATGTAATAAAGTGGCCGCTATTTTATTCCGCAAATCATTCGCTGTTTCATTAGGAAGGAAATTCAAGCTTTCTGATGATTTATTGCCTACACTATATTCATAAAATGTACAAGACATTGTGAGCAGAGCCTGACAGTCCTATATTTATTTGCACTAATTGACTTACAAGAATGAGAATTATAGAAGATTGCAAATATTATTTAGAATAATATGTTTAAAGTGTTTTGTCAATAGAAAATTGTCGACTTAATGGACAAATGTCTATTGATCAGTTGTTTTTCATTTCTGCCTTTGTCAAGTAAGTTTTCAGGACTACTAGTGGGTTCTAATCTATCATATGTGTTTGTATTAAGCATGACAATAAATGAGCTTTAGAATATTGTTATAATAATAATAATAATAATAATAATAATAATAATAAATAAGAACTTTCGTCTAAATTTGAACGAATAGTTTCACAATATTTGGGCGCCGAGTTAATTTGAGACATTAAAAAGAAGAATATATTTGTAAAATCTCAGCGAATGAATTTTAAGTAAATCCAACGTTTCGCCTGGCAATCTGGTCCAAGCTTTTTCAAGGAAAATATAATCAAACAACAAATAATAATAATAATAATAATAATAATAATAATAAGCCTTCTTAAAATTAGTTATACAAGTGGCATGATAATATTTCTATAGTAATCTTGTTAGAAATTAAAATACGAGATTTGAAAACTTCCTAATGAACATAATAATAATCCAAAAAACACTATAACAATTTTGCATACATTAATTATTTGAGCTGCTTGTTCTTGTGTCCCATTCTCTAAATCGATTCCGTTAATTTCTAATATACGGTCATCTTTTTTTATTCTCCCATCAAGATCAGCTTCACAACCAGCGACAAGTTCCAGTACGTATAGTCCTGGTAAATGTCTAATCATGAAGAAAAAGAATACTTATTTTAACATAACAGTAAAACATTTGTTAATGGAGTAGTATATATATTTCAACAAAAACCACAGTGGATAAAATGAAATTTCCACCCCAGTAGTTAGATATAATAATAATAATAATAATAATAATAATAATAATAATAATAATAATTATTATTATTATTATTATTATTATTATTATTATTATTATTATTATTAGATACGGGTACATAATTGGAAAAGAAGGGACTTTAAAGATGATTCCACGGTAGAATAATACGCACATAAATGTGGTGTATGCTACTTATGTCAGTCGACACATGTAGTATGTAACAGCAATCAGAAGTTTGAATGCCTGGCAGCAGGAGGTTGAGAAGGTAGAATCGAAGAGAACGGGAATGTAAACAGAGTAATCGTAATAGCAATGAAAGAACGATGGAATTTGAGACAATTGATGGAAGATTTGCAAATGAAGTATTTCATGTATAGTTTTTCATATTTTACGAAAAAACTCGGTAATTTTACATCGAATAATAAATTGGATATCCCCGCCAAGTCTTCGTTTTTTACTGTATATACTTTGAATATTCGGTTAACAGTAACCTTGTGTTCTAGGCTTTCACTTAACTCATTAACTGATGATATATTTTTTATCATTCATGAATTTTCTCCTTATTACTCTGAACTGTGGAAATAATTTAAAATGGTTATTATTCAGCTTGTTTTCGATTCAGTCAGCTGGGCAGTAGCATAATTAGTTTTCAGATTTAAAAAAAGTATGACCAAAATCCGAGTACGTAAATATGTACTTGGATATTGATTTACATTATAACGTGACAGTAACTAGTAGTAATGTATACAAAATAAATAAACACACCTCATTTGATTATTGAATTTGTTTAAAGTTACAGCTGATAGTAAACTAACTTAGTTTTTAGAAATAAAGTACTGAATATCATGCACAGATTCTTAAAGGAAATAAAGATTCAGTCAGCCAACACAAATGTATATCAGTTTCACCTTTCACAACTCAAATAAGCAAGTACATGGAGCAAATTAACAAGAACAGTAAAAAAATGAAGATAACAATATTACCAATAGTGAATTAATGAACTAAATATAATACAGGTTATGTGCAATAAGTGAGATTGAGAATCAAGGATATTATCCACTTCAAGAGTTAGAGATAGATATAAAGTAGGAATGCAACTGGCCTACACTGTTACATTCTAAGCCATGTAACCTAGTCAGTCGGTCAGTCATGTGCAACGTAGAACCTAGCACAGTGTGTCGGTTCTGTTTGTTATACCATATTATTAAGGTAACATAAAACTATCAAGACAAATCCGGGAGTAGTAGAAGTAGTATTAGTATTAGTAGTAGCAGTAGTAGTAGAAAAGATTAGGTATAAGAAGAGGTAAGAAATCTATAAGGGGATTTTACGACTTACTTACTAAGGGAGAGGGGTAACGGATGACTGCATCGGAGCCAATGTGGACGATTCTAAGACATGTCACCCGAGGTCTCTAGCGATGCCAGTAAGGGTTTTATTCGTTTATAAATTACAAATATCTCGTTGACTATTACAAGATACAGTTTATTTCAGTAGTCGAAAACTTCATGATTTGGTTATATGTATAACCTAGGATACTCTTTTGTCTTTTTCCAATCCGCTTGCAGAGCAGCTGGCATCGCAAGTCAGTTGGGGAAAACAAAGCATATTCTCAATGCTTAGTCTTTTTCATAATCATTTCTAAAACATTAATTCAATCCTTTTTGTTATTATCATGTTAATTTTGTCTTGTCATGCAAAATTGGTGATAAGGCAACTTAGATTAATGCATGTTTGTGATAGGACCTACGTTGGTGATGACTGACTAAATTAAAAAAGAACGTTACGTAGGTAACAATCACTTGGGCTAACTAATAATAACACTTATTTGAAAAATTGGCATCAACAATGTAAACACTTATGATGTATTTAATCAAGAATAAACGAAAAAATGTAGTTATTCGATTGTTACTGTTATGGATGTTACAAGAAGTATATAAATTTGTGAAGAAGACACAATTAGGACAATGAAATTAAAGCTAGGTATGTAAACAAATCAAAGCATATATGTTAAAATAGTTGGAAAACTTATCGTGACGCCGTTAAATCATATCAGGCATTGAAATGGGTTAATAAATTACAAAACTACATGTTTAAGAATTAATTCATATGTGCACAACTTTTTTTCAAAGAATTTTAATAACGTATAATAAATAATCAAATTTACCGATTACGTAATAGAATTTAGCTTCAAACCATCAATATGAAAGGTTTTCTGGCGTTACATTAAAGCCTATATTTAAATAGGTAGTAATTTCCAAAGTAGCTAATTTATTAGTTTTAGTAAAGACTGAAAAAAAACAACTAACGAAGTACCCTTTCTCTCTTAATAGGTGGAATAAAATGATGGTAGAATACAACATTCAATATTATGTATCTGGCTGACAGAATACGCAAAGCATTATTGTTTACACAGATATGAGGTTATTCATTTGTTTGGACTGTGGGTAGCAGCGGAATTCAAGACGTAAGTTTCACTCTATTTGGGACTTTTCAGATGGATGTGCTTCCGTCTTTGTGTTAATGTTAACACACTGAAATTTAAAATCAGCACCTATCAATTAAAACGTCAATGCGCTTAAATATTCCCACTGTTAGCCACGATCTAAACGTACTAAAACCTAATGACTAACTTGCTATATCGAAGCAATCATCGCCGAATGAATGTATTTCAACACAGACTGATTAAAAATAGTCATAAATATAAACTATGAGAAAATATAGACTTTTACTAAGACACGAATTACATTCAAATAGAATAAAGGAATACATCAATTGATCAATCAACTTGAATTAAATAATATAAAACGTTATTACGATTTAAGAGAGAAAATCCGTGTGATACAAGATTATGGTGGCAATTTTTAGTAAACAATTGTATTGTTAAGTTAAACAGTAGTTTACATTTAAATCCAAATAATCTGTACTATTAACGTTTTAACCTATATGACTGTTAATTGAAATTAAAATTTAAATGAGATTTTAAAGAGAGCAAGAACAAAAATTGGTGCAGAATAATATGAATTCATTTTATTTCGTTAGGTTCTCATCAGCTGCTTACAACCTAAATTATTTAAAATTCAACATTAATACAGATATTGACATATTTATATATAAGAGTGTGATTAAGGATCAATACATGTGTATGATGATGTAGCGAAGATTCAAATAGAGTTAATGAGCTCATAAAATGTTTGATTCGAATAAATAAATAAAGTTTGAGAGGGAAAGTTCCAGAACATTGAAATAGTGATTAGAACTCATGAAAATTGATTAATGGTAATAAAGAAAATATGAATTGAAATCAATCAGTTATGTATGATGTAATTTATATTTCAGAAAGAGTTGCAATAATGACGTAATAAATAAATAAATAGGAGCAAATTAATAGAAAGAGTGGGGGTTATTGTTACCAGGGTAAAGAAAGATTTATTACTGTCTCTTTTTGTATACATAGATCTGGTTTTAAACGTTTGATTGCTAACGCTTCAGCGAATTTCAAAAGGTTCGAGTTTGATTGTTTGTTAATCACCTTGAAGGACTTCAGTATATCAGCTTTATGTCCTGTATCAAGGAGATGTCTGGCGATAGCACTGTTGAATGCGTTCAATCCATTTAACCTTAAACTTTTCGGGATATGTTCTTTGAATCGGACGTAGGCTCTCCTTTCTGTTCTACCAATGTAACTGCTTTGGCAGGTACATGTAAATTTGTATACACAGTTGGTGGTAACATGAAAGGGATACCTATCGACCTTTGATTGTGTCAAAGAGCATGTTGTTTTGGACAGGACAATCAATTTCGCTGCAGGATAAGTTCTTGTCAGTGCAGTTTTTAGTCTCATATTGATTGATCCTGTGACATCGTCACCTTTGAATTGAAGTTTAATAAAAATAGGCTTTTTATTTGCTGTAATTTCTTTCGGCTTTTTAACTTCACATTTGCCGTATTTCTCAATAAATTTCAGTGGGTATCCGTTATTCTTTAAACATTTTTTAACATTCATAACTTCCTCTTCTAGTGTATCGGAAGTACATATTCTTTCTGTTCTGTAAAACAGTGTTTTGACCAGTGCCTTTTTGTAACTGATTGGACAAAAGCTATTGAAATTAAGATAACTACCATTCCATGTGTCTTTCTTATAAACTGACCGTTGAACTGTACCATCTTTTCTTCTTTTTATCGCGATATCGAGAAAATGGAACTTGTTTTCTTTTTCATGTTCCATAGTGAAATGGATATTCGGATGTGCTTCATTGAAAAACTCTAGCAGATTTATTGCATGTTGTTTATTATTACATACGATGAAGGTATCATCAACATATCTCGAATAATACGTCATTTCATCAATCGCTCGTTTGAGTTTGGTTCTTTCGAGGTTAGCCATGAAAATATCTGCTAGGATAGGACCTAACGGACTTCCCATCGCTACACCATCGATTTGTTTGTATATGATATCGTTGAACTGGAACTGAACATCTTTTGTACAAATGAGTAATAGTCGTTTGAATTCTGGTACTGGTAGAGGTAGGATGTCAGAATGTTGACAAATTATGTCTATGGTCTCAAGAAGTGGTATTTTTGTAAACAAAGATGTTACATCAAAAGAAACCATAAACTTACCGGCAATATTTATGTGATTCATGCTGTCAGCAAATACAAATGAATCCTTTAGTGTATAGGTGGCTAATCGTTGACGCACTGGTTCTAACTTATCTGCCAACCATCGTGCAACTTTGTGGTATGGTGAATTGATCATTGACAAAATAGGTCTAAGAGGATAACCTTGTTTATGTATTTTCGGTAATCCATACATGTGGGGCAAACGAGACCCACGAGGTCGTAGATTATTGTAAGTAGAGTTATCGATCATTTTCTTTTTCAGAAGATCTCTGAGTACTTTGGTGATTCTTTTCTCAATGGAATCAGTTAAGTCTTTGTTACTTTTCTCTAACTTGAATCTCATATGGTCATTCAAGATGGACTTCATCTTAAAAACATAATCTGTTTTGTTCATTAGAACAACACTTGAGCCTTTGTCTGACCGTAATATCATTATATCGTCATTTCGTTTAATATTTCGTAATGCTGTTTGGTGGTCTTTGGATAAAAGCTTAGACTGTGGTGCGGGTGAAACAAGATATTGGTTTGCAATATCGACTAGTTTAGATTTAAACCAGCCTTTCTTTTCTTCACTAACTGGGTGCAACTCTTTAATTTGATCAAATAAATTCTCAAATTGAGTTTCTGTGTCGATTCTGTCGGCATGTGTTTTGGGGATATGAAATTTAAATCCAAGTGACAAGGCTTCTGTTTCTGTCTGATTTAACTTCATTGTTGATAGATTATAGAGAAACTTTTCGGGGTTTTCCGGAAAGCCAAAACATAATTGTTCCTTTGACAGAGTCTTTGACAAAGTTACGTGGAAATTCTTGCATATTTTGCTTTGCAGATCTTGTATAAAGTTGATAAATTTTATGCGACATACGATACTTAGATTGTCGATTAATTCATTAAAGGCATTAGTTTCTGCCCTCAAACGTTCAATCAGTAACTTTGTTGATTCAATGTGAGATTTTGTGATGCGTCGAAGATTTTTAAGAGAAGGCGGGAGTTTAAATGAGCGTAAAGACTTTAAGAACTGACGTGGGAAACGGCATGACTTGAGACATTCATCAAAAAACTTTAGTCGAGTTATTTCTCTCGATATTCTGCAGCGTATTGTCACCAGGCGATTCAGTGACTTGAATGACTGTGCAGGGAGACGCATTTTGAGAAATTTCATACACCTAGTTCCCTTTATTATTTTAAAGAGAGCAAGAACAAAAATTGGTGCAGAATAATATGAATTCATTTTATTTCGTTAGGTTCTCATCAGCTGCAGCTGATTCCATTGAGAAAAGAATCACCAAAGTACTCAGAGATCTTCTGAAAAAGAAAATGATCGATAACTCTACTTACAATAATCTACGACCTCGTGGGTCTCGTTTGCCCCACATGTATGGATTACCGAAAATACATAAACAAGGTTATCCTCTTAGACCTATTTTGTCAATGATCAATTCACCATACCACAAAGTTGCACGATGGTTGGCAGATAAGTTAGAACCAGTGCGTCAACGATTAGCCACCTATACACTAAAGGATTCATTTGTATTTGCTGACAGCATGAATCACATAAATATTGCCGGTAAGTTTATGGTTTCTTTTGATGTAACATCTTTGTTTACAAAAATACCACTTCTTGAGACCATAGACATAATTTGTCAACATTCTGACATCCTACCTCTACCAGTACCAGAATTCAAACGACTATTACTCATTTGTACAAAAGATGTTCAGTTCCAGTTCAACGATATCATATACAAACAAATCGATGGTGTAGCGATGGGAAGTCCGTTAGGTCCTATCCTAGCAGATATTTTCATGGCTAACCTCGAAAGAACCAAACTCAAACGAGCGATTGATGAAATGACGTATTATTCGAGATATGTTGATGATACCTTCATCGTATGTAATAATAAACAACATGCAATAAATCTGCTAGAGTTTTTCAATGAAGCACATCCGAATATCCATTTCACTATGGAACATGAAAAAGAAAACAAGTTCCATTTTCTCGATATCGCGATAAAAAGAAGAAAAGATGGTACAGTTCAACGGTCAGTTTATAAGAAAGACACATGGAATGGTAGTTATCTTAATTTCAATAGCTTTTGTCCAATCAGTTACAAAAAGGCACTGGTCAAAACACTGTTTTACAGAACAGAAAGAATATGTACTTCCGATACACTAGAAGAGGAAGTTATGAATGTTAAAAAATGTTTAAAGAATAACGGATACCCACTGAAATTTATTGAGAAATACGGCAAATGTGAAGTTAAAAAGCCGAAAGAAATTACAGCAAATAAAAAGCCTATTTTTATTAAACTTCAATTCAAAGGTGACGATGTCACAGGATCAATCAATATGAGACTAAAAACTGCACTGACAAGAACTTATCCTGCAGCGAAATTGATTGTCCTGTCCAAAACAACATGCTCTTTGACACAATCAAAGGTCGATAGGTATCCCTTTCATGTTACCACCAACTGTGTATACAAATTTACATGTACCTGCCAAAGCAGTTACATTGGTAGAACAGAAAGGAGAGCCTACGTCCGATTCAAAGAACATATCCCGAAAAGTTTAAGGTTAAATGGATTGAACGCATTCAACAGTGCTATCGCCAGACATCTCCTTGATACAGGACATAAAGCTGATATACTGAAGTCCTTCAAGGTGATTAACAAACAATCAAACTCGAACCTTTTGAAATTCGCTGAAGCGTTAGCAATCAAACGTTTAAAACCAGATCTATGTATACAAAAAGAGACAGTAATAAATCTTTCTTTACCCTGGTAACAATAACCCCCACTCTTTCTATTAATTTGCTCCTATTTATTTATTTATTACGTCATTATTGCAACTCTTTCTGAAATATAAATTACATCATACATAACTGATTGATTTCAATTCATATTTTCTTTATTACCATTAATCAATTTTCATGAGTTCTAATCACTATTTCAATGTTCTGGAACTTTCCCTCTCAAACTTTATTTATTTATTCGAATCAAACATTTTATGAGCTCATTAACTCTATTTGAATCTTCGCTACATCATCATACACATGTATTGATCCTTAATCACACTCTTATATATAAATATGTCAATATCTGTATTAATGTTGAATTTTAAATAATTTAGGTTGTAAGCAGCTGATGAGAACCTAACGAAATAAAATGAATTCATATTATTCTGCACCAATTTTTGTTCTTGCTCTCTTTAAAATAATAAAGGGAACTAGGTGTATGAAATTAAATGAGATTATTTTCACTACTTCCATCCAAGGGGAATACAATAACAATATTATTATTTAAATGGAAAATTTATGATTTTTAATAGTTAAACCGAAATATTTAAGTCACTGAAACATAAGAATTGGAATTCTTGTATCTACATTAAAAGAGTTAATTTCCAGGTACAAAATGAATCGAAATTTCAAATCAACAACGAATTTTACACACGAAATGTAGTTAGCTGATTTGTGTGAAGATGCATTCGATCGGAAAATAATTTTTTACCATACGCTGTCATAGGGTGGATAAACAGAGGAGATCGAGACCATGTAACCTTTTCATCCAAGCCTCAGACTCATCAGTAGTGCTATTCTATGGTCTTATATGATAAGATGAAACATGAGACGTTCAGATCTGGTAGAGAGCATTAAACCATTGGAAAACGAAGCCAGGATCCAAAGGTTCATATATTTCAACATTAATCAATACTGTTATCAGCATCCCATTCCATATTTAAAATTAATTAGGGTGAGATATATCGACTAAACTTGTGCTAATTAGAAAGACTATGTGGTTCTTCTTGTCTCCATTTTGATACTAGTTAAACGATACGTGGCGCATGGAAAGTGTGGAAATGACAAATGAACAGTCTCTGGTAAACTAAATTTCCATAAAAAACCTCCCGCGAAATTTATCTTGCATGAGTAATCATCAAACGAATGGTGAAATATACAAACATTTTCTCGTCCACCTCTTTTTACTGCTACGAATACCATATAATACGAAAAAATGTCAATTATGGAATGTTCCAAACACACTACCTCCCTAATCAATAATTTGACAAGTCGCACGGATTTCTCGATATTACAAGCTCCAAACAATGTATTTTACCGTGTAACCAAAAAACACTCTTAAATAACCATTGTATCGAATATACGTATATTTAACATGAATCACTCACTTTTTTCCGACAAGTTTAATTCCAAGAACTTTCCCTTGACGTTTGCATAATTTAACGTAAAATATTTCTTTTTATCGAAACGCATATAGTATATATTGAACAAAGAAAAATATACAATAAAAGTTACATAATGTATGTTCTAAGTTAGTATTGTAAGGATAACAGAGGAAGTTATATATATATATATATATATATATATATATATATATATATATATATATATATATATATATATGGGAATTTTCATATGAATAAGTGTTTTGCTTTCTGTGGACAAAAAACAACATACTAATGATCATTAACTAACAAGAGAAATAAAGTGAAAACATGAAGTGAAACAGTACTAGTGTCATTGCTAATATTATTATTATTACTATTGATACATAGAACAAAAGAAACTTGAAAAACAGTTGCTGTAGTGTAATACATATATGCACGTTGTTAAATATGAATGGACACAGCATATATATATATGCGGTTGGTAACAATTATTAAGAAAATCTGGATATAAGGTTTAGTTGGAACATGCCAACCAATACGTTCCCGAGTTCTGTGGTCAGCTGGCAATTCATATGGAAGCAATAATAGTAGAATGAAACTCAGTAATATAATACACGTTTGTGTATTAGGCATGAGCCAAATCTACCGTGCACGAGAAAGTAATGACAATTATTGATTAGTTCAGTAGATGGAGTAGTTTATGAAGTGATGTTTAAAATGACTGAAATATATGAGATGTTGAGTGAACATTGCCGATGAGCAAACACTTCTGACTTTAAAATAGAACACTAAAAGAAAATATACAAATAAAATAGTAACAATAATAATTCAAAAATTATCACCTTGGTGATATTGAGGTTGTGATTGATGTTGTGCATTCAAAGAAACTGGTTCACGGAAAACAGTGAATTGAACTACTGATGATGGAATAGTCAAAATGCTCTGTGCTTCAGCATGCGTAACATGTGTTAATAAGTTGCCGTTCGCCTATTATTAAGTGGTATAAAAGAATAATGATTTTGAAAAGAAAAAGAAAAAACAAAATCACACTGTAGAGAGAAGTGTAATATGATGGAAATAATTACGACTGACGAACGCTAGAGTAATTAATTGATTGAAGCAGACCCACAGGCGAGTTTGCTCATAATCATTCTCTAATCCTTGGATGAGTGGATATTAGAAGGCAAGATTAAGTATATTATCACTTGTACATGAATCTTTGCAGTATTTTCTTTAGACACAATTATCCTTATAATCGACCAACTCGACTAAATTGACGATTCATTATGAAGTCTGTAACAGACTGAAGAGCTAGACTCGTCCAGGAAAATTGAAACTGAGATATCGAGTCTGAGACCGGTGGTTTTAACACTAGTTGGCTAATATGATTATAGGGTAAACTACAACCACCATTATGAATTCACAAGCCTTTTTACCAGAAACGTCAAGTTTAATGTTTAGGAGCTTAGAAAACAAAGTTACCAACCAAAACTTCTCAAGTTTTTATTTAGGTATGATACCTCCAGGCTGACAGTGTGGTAAGAGCTTATTATTAAAATCTGTCACATTTCTACCAACAGTAAGTAGATCCACATAATAAACATATGTATGGCTTTCCATCGACCGATCACTAAATGTTTCTAAAGACTAAAAAGATATACAGTTTTTTATATGGCCTGGACAAACAGCCCTGGACGTTGAATATTAATATCATGTATCACACTAAAACTCTGAAGATATGTCCCCAACTAGTTTGAGAATAACAACTGGAAAGGATTGTCCAGGACAGAGTTGGGTGGATAATGCTAATAGGCGGCCTATGCTCCTCCACGGGGGTAACAGGCATAAGTAAGAACGTAAGTTGAGTCCCATTAATACCACTTATTGTGGGTAATCACGAAAAGTGAGGTTACAGACAATAATAAACTATAAACCATTTTATAAAATCATGATATATTCATTTGTCCACATATTTCTTAAATGAAACATGAAATTCTGTGGAAAACTTAGTAACTTAAGTGGACTTCCGATAGAAATTCTAAGAAAATTCTCCCACAATATGTAACAAAAGATTAGTTAGAAGAAACTTGAGTGATTACATTTATTCTATAATTACTAATCTAAGCAAAAAGGGAAATAACCCATTCTGTGTTTACCTCTAACAACTGATCGCCTGGTCTAAGACGTCCATCCGTTGCAACGGGTCCATCCAAATAGATTTCTTGAATTAGTATGCATGCCTAAGAAAACAAAAATATGGTCAGCAAACATGTTTATATCTGCACATGAGCACTGGGGAAACGGATATAAACCTAAATATTAAAGACTCATTTGATAATTAAGTTGAGAACTTGTAATCTATGGAGTCACATATAGCGCTCACCAATTTAAGTCACTTGTATCACAAAGCCAGATATTTATTAGGTTATCAAGTGCTGAACGCATTCACTACTAGTCTGCTGTACATTATTTTACAGATGTGATATATGGCTACTGAAATTAGAAGAAATGTACAGTTCGCTAAGACTTGTCATATGTACCTTTAAATGGAGTCATTACCTGAACAGTATTGATTAAACTTAGAGTACCAAGTAAAAATGATGAATTATTTGATGAGAATGTAAATCTTATTTAAATGAGTTAGTTGGAATACATTTTATGCATACCAGACTATTCTCTGCCTTGATGCCCCTTCTAAGCTAACACATCAGTAAGTTGGAAGGATGCTAGGAGTTGGTAAATCAAGACATAACTTTACTCAAAGCAAGTTTTCTATTTAGGGTTAGCAAAATAATCATAGTCAACAGTTAGATATTTTGGATGATACGGTTTAAAATCTGTTAGGCTGGTGACGATAAATTCCTTTCTTTACATATCGTTATAATTTCAAACTTTTCATTTACGCCGTTTGAAATGTATTAACCGTATTTAGTTTTCTGTCACTATTATTATTTTTCTAACTCCATTCTTGATCCTTTGATTGGTTTCCCTCTCCCTATACTAACATAATGTGTGGCAATTCGAATAGATATTTATTTATTTTAATTTTCGCATTATTCTGTATTTTCATCGTGCTTGATGTATGAGGTAAAACGAGATCAGATATAAGTCTCCGTCCACCGATGTTTTCAAATGATGGTTGCACTAAATCTAAAATTAATCCAAATCAAGAACTATGAATTATCATAATTTTTCCGTTCGACATCCCGTAAATTCAAGGATGAATATCTTACAGGATTTTCAAAGCATCTGAACAAATCTATCACAAAACAGAGGATACAATAGACATCTGTACAGTGTAAAGACAAAAATAGTTATCACTTACAAGAGGTGTATCAATACCTCCAACAAATGTGAAACCTAAATCCATACAGTCGTTTGGACGATAAATTAAAATCGAGACAGGAACACCTTCATATACAGTTGGTGAATCAGCTGAAAGATAAAGTAATGTATTTATATGATTAACACTAATAGCAAAAAGAACTTTAGAAAATGATCGTAGGTTATTTCATACATCATCAAGAATGAGAGAAATTACTAGGCTTGTCATAAAATAAAATATCACCTTCAAGAGCTTAGTCACGCTGAGAACATAGACAATATCAGTAACCATTCCCATTCAGTATTTAAAGTCGGATAATAAAAACGAAAAAAAACTATGAGTATTATCTACCGGTGAGAATAAGAGTGAACTAGTGTTACTTCTATAGTTTTTAAGTTCTCTAGTATTTCGGGTAAAAATTAAACCTTATTGGCAGGGTCATGACTTCATTGTGATATCAGTGACCTATAACATCGGTACTGTTCAATCGTTCATGCCTCAATCGACTTCTGATAACGTTTATTCATGTGCCCAATAACTTGAACATTATTTTATTTGTAAAAAAACCCTATTATTCTGGTAAGTGATTCAGTCTTTGATATCAGTTTATTCTAAAGTTGGAACCGACAGTCTAGTTTCGTGAGCAGTCATCATTAGAGCACATCACTGGATTCATTAATCATAACGCATAATATCCCCATAATAAAATGTATACCACCTATAATAAGGCACCAGTAAGACCGTTTAGACTGTTTTTTAAACTGGAAATAGTAATAGTGTAGGATTATGATATAATAAATGACATTTTAAAACACTTTAAATATCAACTATTTATATCCAAGAAATAACTGTTTACAAGTTCATGAAAAAATGACTTGTCAGTGAGTTATATTTATTTATTTAAACATATAAACATTGGTACAAGGAGGCACCAAATACATATGCGCCACACAAATCTTTTGATATGTGTGAGAGCTGTGATACTGCCCGGGTGCCCAAACCGAAGCAGGTGGTTTTCTTAGGGGGCCACACCTGGAGACTTCGACTTGAAGGTCTGATTCACAAGGCAGTGGAGCATCGTAAGGAGATGCAGTCCCATGGTAGCCGGTGACCAACGATTGGTTCATACGCCATTTGTTCCTTCAGGATACTGGAGCCAGCCCATGTGCACCATTGGTTTGGAATCAGGGTTTTCCAACTCCCATACATGGACCCTCCATATCCACCAACCCGGTTAAAGCGCCGGACATTCGCTTTTCGTCCTCTCAATTTCGTAAACAACACCCCCATCACGAGAAGGCAGTGGGTAAGACTTCCCTGGCAGAGGCTATATACGCGTGGCCATGTGAGAGCATTTCGAGAGGGAGAGCTTACTCTGCCCACTCTCGACCGTACCAGGGCATTTGAAAGCTGTGAACTAGGAGATAATTATTGATAAAACTAGATTACTGTTTGATTGATGCTTTCTAACGACCCGCTCTCACATTCATCACGTAATTCGATTAATATGACGCAAACCACCCTAATTCAAATGTCTAGCAAGTATTGTTGTTTACATTTTCAACAAGTAATTTATCTCAGATATATAGAGCTAGTACTGAGTTTGAACATCCAAAAATAAATTCATTCAGTTTTTAACTGAGCTATTAATAAACTAAATCAGGGAGTTTGATTTCCCGCTTGGTAATTCATGATAACAATAGAAAGAATGATGACAATTAATACTTTGGGGGGTGAACATTGTAATGCCCTTTTCAAAAACTGAACATTTTTAGTTAACGTACATAAATCTTCAACACATGGTAGACTTGAATCGTAGTTTGTTTTATTTAGTTTATCCATTTCTATTCGGGTAACTGATGGATAAATATTAGGAAATTCTTTTATATATTGATTCGGATAAACAAAACTAAAATTGGATTCATTATTTGAATTATGGTAGTTTATATTTTGTTGTTCCTGTGCTAAAAGATTATTTTTCATAAAATTTTGTGAATCGATTATCCTGAGACATCTTGTTGAATCAGATACTATTGGTTGTAACATATTCGAATCATGTGATTCAGTTCCAATGAAAGTGGATAAGAAGACATTTTTGAATTGATTATGTTGTTGCATTGTACGAGAGGTTGATTTTATTGCACTAGATGAATGTACACCAACACACCATTCACGTAAATGTTCTTCAAGATTTGACCGATAAACTATACTATCACAGGTAGGTGAATTGGGACAAGCAACTAATAGCTTGTCTAATAATCTACAAGAAAAATACAATGTAATTACCAATTTAGAATAAATTTGTACAGAAATAACCACATTTATTTATTATTAGGAATATCTTGATTCTATGACTAAAATATAACAAAAATGTAACGTGAAACATCTTATGACTTTGAGTAAACTCACTAAACAATTAACGGGTTGTCATACATCATATTTGTTTAGAGTAAAAAATAATGACAGAAATTGCTAAATAACACATGTATATATACTTATACATCACGACAGTCGCATCATAGAATATCGACCTTAGATTAAGCGACCTTACATACTATCTAAGTAATCTAGGTCCATGTTCTTTTTATTTATTCATTTAAGCACATTGTTACAAATGAGGAACCAAAATATATATACAAAATACAAAGTAGTGACCACAAAATTCGTATATGAGGGCTGAGGTACTGTCTGGGTACCCATATCAAGGCAGGCAGTTTTCTTGGGGGGTCACACCCCGAGCCTTTCACCTAGGGGTACAATTCATAAGGCAGTGGAGCAACGTAGGGAGATACAAACTCATGGTAGCTAACGACAAGGAGTAGGTCCGTACACTATTCGTTCCCTAAGGATTATGGATCCCTTGTGCACCAATGGTTCGGAATTAGTGTTTTCCAGCTCCCTTAGGTAGACTCTCCGTACCGACCAACTTAGTCAAAGCGCTGAAAATTCGCTTTTCGTTCTCCCAATTTCGTAAACAACACCCCCGCCGCGAGAAGGCAGTGAACAAAACTTCCCTAGCATTGGCTATATATGAGTGGATATGTGAGAGCATTTATAGGGAGAGCGGAGACTCCCCACCCTCAGTCATACCAAGCCATTTGGGAGCATGTCTATCGGAAACACTAGTAAAAGTCATTATTCGGAAAAACTAAATTCCAAAAGACGACTGTAATATTCCATATATCTTTTAATCTTTTTAAATTCTGTTAGTAAATATCACTTGCTTCTCAACTTCATTTTAAAAAGTGAACGTCCAATAGCATATGTATACGACATGAAAAATATCTTGACGTCCTACTCAAACTTAACTAAATGGCCATCCTAATATTCAGTGGATTTTTAAATGTTACTTAGTTAACGTAAAACAATTATTGTTAATAGCCAACACATTTGCCACAAGATTACAGCAAAATAATTTCACTGCACTTAAAAGTATTCACTAATACAGTTTAACATTAAGATTTTACTTTTTTTAATTCTAAACAATAAGCTTTCAAGAAAGCATACTGATAATCATTGATTTCAATGTATAAAATAATAATGAAATAAAAATATGAACAAATCAAATAGCTACTAACCGTTTCACAATATTAGAAGCTTGTTGACACTGTAAATAATTGATAATTTGCTTGTCCACAGGACAAAGTGCTTGAACAGCTAGATGATTTTTTAAGCAAGGGGAACAAAATGTGTGACCACACTTGGTATCTAATGGATCAACTAAGGGTTTTTGACATAGCTGAAATGTACAAAGATGTAAAGAAATTACTTGGGTTAGTAATTCTATTGACTGTTAAATACCATACACTAAACAAGTAGTTTGGAACAATATATAAATTAATTGAAGATGCGCTACTCACAGACAGAAAGAAATAATTTTACACGGAAACGAAAAAAAATGAAGAGATCTCTTTTTAAGACTAATAGACTACATAAAGTGTAACACACTAGATTGTGAATCGGGCTTATTTTAGTCCAACCGACTGGATATTCGGAAATAAGACACCTAAAGTTAAATCTGTGCCTCAGTAGTTAGGAGGCAAGTAAACGTAGATCACTGAAATATAACTGTTGGATTGGGTAAATACTTATCACTCGATATTATGAGCAATCGACGAAGACAATCTATAACAGGACGTTTAAATAGTGGTAAGAACGAAGGGCATATAACGTGAAACATCAGGGAAAAATCATTCAAACTTATACATAATAAATTACTAAATAGGAAGTTTTACATGCTATTTTTAAGTGGCTGACGATTCCCTAAAGAGCCCTAAATAAATTTTAGAAACTTTTTATTACTAGCTATTATATGCCCCCAAATGCCCTGGTACGGCCGAGAGTGGGCAGAGTAAGCTCTCCCTCTCGAAATGCTCTCACATGGCCACGCGTATATAGCCTCTGCCAGGGAAGTCTTACCCACTGCCTTCTCGTGATGGGGGTGTTGTTTACGAAATTGAGAGGACGAAAAGCGAATGTCCGGCGCTTTAACCGGGTTGGTGGATATGGAGGGTCCATGTATGGGAGTTGGAAAACCCTGATTCCAAACCAATGGTGCACATGGGCTGGCTCCAGTATCCTGAAGGAACAAATGGCGTATGAACCAATCGTTGGTCACCGGCTACCATGGGACTGCATCTCCTTACGATGCTCCACTGCCTTGTGAATCAGACCTTCAAGTCGAAGTCTCCAGGTGTGGCCCCCTAAGAAAACCACCTGCTTCGGTTTGGGCACCCGGGCAGTATCACAGCTCTCACACATATCAAAAGATTTGTGTGGCGCATATGTATTTGGTGCCTCCTTGTACCAATATCTATGTGTTAAAATAAAGAATAAATAATAAAACTATTCTATTCTATAGCAGACCAGCAAATCATCTTGATGTTTTTCTAGGAGGTACAAATGAGGAACTGATAAACCAGCGTAAAACCATAACTGTTCAGACTTTAAGATGTTCAGAATGGAAACAGAGTAACTCACAAAAAAGCCAGATGTAAGTAACCTGAGTTGGAAGATTTCCATGAGGCTCAGACTAAGAAAAAACTATAAATTCTTGCAGTTCATTTGGTTAGAAAAAAATCCGGTCTAATATTAACCTACGACCAGCATAGTCAGTCAAAAAAGAGATTGAGTAAATAAATGAGTGCAAATTTCAAAGCACAAGTTACCCCAGATCGAGATTTTCAACATAAAATTACGAGATTTACATACCGTTTAACTTCAGTGTCATCAAATACTTGAAATGACTTTTTAAGTGACCAAATAGGCTGTTTTTAGATTTTATCTAAACACCTAATTAAAAGGATGATGGAGAGTGATACCAACTAGTTATTCAAACCTAGATGAGCTGAGTAAGATTTAAATCCGCGACCCATTAGTTGAAATTCATGTGTCAAAATTAATGACACTGCAACCACTATGAAATGCAATGACGACAGTGAAAGAAATGAGGTCCATAGATCTGTGGATACCTCATAAAATTAACTGAATAGTAACACAACATATGAATTTAAAACTCACAGTACAACATAGATCAGCATCCACCGTTTGTGTGTAATTATAAATATGAGGCGACATGGAATCATGTGTTTGACCGCATGTACGACACAAATACTTTTTTACTACCAAGTTTTTGGGATTACTAGATGACATTTCATTTTGGTTATGAGCAGAAGTACTAGTAGGGTAGCTTGGATGAATATCTTCTTTATTAATCAACTTAGGTGACATAGATGATATTACTGAAGGTTGAACAAAATGAGATTTACTGCATGGACCGATTTTTGGATGAAGTTCTGTGAAAGCTGATCCAGGAGAAGGAAAAGAAGAAGAAGGTGTAGATGTAATTGGAGTAAATTGCAAAGTATAATTGGGGATACCAGATGTAATGTTTTCTGAATAGGAATAAGGCAAACTTGGTGGCTCAAAAGATGGAGGGTTAGAGAATGGGTTTAAGATAGAGGCATCGCAAGCTGCTTTAGCAAATTTAGGGGTTGAAGGTTCACATGAGTTAATGGTGGCTGTGTTTTGTAACGTCGAGCTGATGGTATTTTCCTGAAAAACAAGCAAACATAGACAAACCCAATAATAAAATACAATAGGATGTGAGACTGAAAAACAGGTGTTATTCAACTGTATTATCTAGGTTCTGGGACTACAGTACTATGCATGACTAGTGATAAGCTCGTTTTCTGTGGCTTATAAACACTATTGAACAGTTCTAGACCAATAAGTTAACCATTCACTGCTGAAACACAAGATCAAAGTTAAGAAACAACATAATTATATGACAATGTAATTCGCCGCCACGTCATATTTCAGTCTGATATATTTGTTTCCTCCCTACTTTACAGTTCACTGCTACACAATCATTTAAACACCTCTGAACATAAGCTACTATAACTTATTTACACATATTTATTAAAAAAACTGACCATTTTACAGATTCCTTTTCTAGAAGTTGATGTTAAATTGTCATAAGTTGGGAGTTGAGTTGTAATAATATGTTCGGGAGGTTCCGGTAATAATGGGGAACCCTTAGTAACAGGAAGGTCAAGACCGGGACTACTGGCAACCGTCGTATTTGTTTCACTATCTCCGCCCACACTGCCTGTGCTGTCATCGCAACAACTTCCCGTCTGCATAGCAAAAGTGGAGGTTCGATGAAATTGGCCTGGGTCGATGGACAGATATTAAGCACCAAAACCAGATCATAAGACAATTATAAGCAAAATAAATAGTGAAACAATGACTTTTCAGGATTGTACATTATCTTTCCTCGAGAAAATTAGGAATCACAAACCTTTTTGAAACAGATCTAAAATTTAAAAAAATAGAAAGCGTCAATAAAAAGTGTATACATATGCTAGTTAGGAGACATCTAAGTTTACCCAAAAAATTGTTGCTTCACATATTCAGAACATACGACCTTTTAACTAATGTAGTACTCATGAAGTGGGCTGATTAAAAGTTAAAGTTATTGAAGAAGTATTTCCATGGATATTTAACTTCGTCTTATCAAATCGTACTTGAGAACAAGAATTAAGTTGTTTTCCACTGGATTTGAAAAACAAACCAGAAAACATAGAAGAGATGCATTTTACCGAAGCTTGGAAATAAAGCAGATTTCGACAGACTTAGAAGAGCTGACTCAGAGAACTAATGATTGGAACCACTAGTATATTGTTTTTAGTCAATAAATAACTACCATAAATTCACATCAGAGGATTTAAATTATAACTAGCTCAAGAGGAAAAGAGTCAACGGTAGTAAAAACAAGTAGGGCATGAGCGGAAGAAAACAGATAAATAAGCAAAATTTTCATAGACTAAATGTAGATAAATAAATTTACTTACCGCCTCAACTTCAAGAACACTAACCAAGAAGCAAACATATCACTACCTGAAAGATACTACCAGTTAGCAACCTTCCGGATTGGTACTTTATTCCTAACTTTAGGACTTTTTAACCACGGGATTCATTATGCTACTCTTTACCTCGTTATATGTTGGACACGTCGCGGAAACTTTTAAGATAGCTACGATCGAGTTCAAGTAATGTTTCGGTGTTAACCGTCAGTATCTAAATACCACAACCACTACGGAGAACCTATGACGGGCGGTTAGACAATTGCAGTGCTACATACGATGGAAACTGTCTATTTTGAGACTACATTAACAATTGGCTAGTCAGGATTGATGTATTCAAATTAAGTTTTAATAGTGATTGTCTTAACTCCGCCTGGAGTCCCTCCGGGGGCTACTGCCGGTCCCAAGCCCGGATAAAGGAGGAAGGTTGGGCATGGGGTTAGCGTCCCCATCCCGTAGAAAACTAACTCGCTAAAAAAACGCTAACCAGAAAAAATTATTCAAACCTTTCAAACTCTGCCCTGGGAGTCAGAAGGTCTTCATTTAGAAGAACTATGACGCCTCATGATGAAAGCCGAATTCCTTCGGAAGTCACGAGGTCGATGCCCCTTCTGACAACCAGAGCAACCATTTATTTAAGTACATGGAATGTTCGTATAATGTGGGACACCGGAAGAGCCTTCCAAATTGCTGCAGAAATGAGAAGATACAACCTAGAGGTGCTTGGGATCAGTGAAACACATTGGACGCAAGTTGGACAACAACGACTTCAGGAGAGCTTCTGTTATACTCCGGCCATGAAGAAGAAAATGCCCCAAATACACAAGGAGTTGCATTGATGCTGTCCAAACAAGCACAAAATGCACTTATAGGATGGGAATCTCATGAACCAAGGATCATCAAAGCCTCCTTCAAAACAAAGAAAGAGGGCATTTCAATGAACATCATCCAGTGCTATGCGCCTACCAACGACTACAATGAAGACGCTAAAGATCAATTCTACAATAGGTTGCAGTCAATCATCGAGAAGTGCCCAACAAAGGACCTGACCATTCTGATGGGAGATTTCAATGCCAAGGTTGGAGCGGATAACACTGGATATGAAGACATCATGGGACGACACGGACTGGGAGAAAGGAACAAAAATGGTGAGAGATTTGCAAACCTATGTGCCTTCAATAAACTGGTCATAGGCGGCACTGTATTCCCACATAAACACATTCACAAAACCACATGGACTTCACCGGATCACACAACATAAAAGCAAATCGACCATATCTGCATCAAAAAAACGTTCAGGAGGACTATAGAGGACGTGAGAACCAAGAGAGGAGCTGATATAGCATCAAACCATCACTTGCTGATCGCCAAAATGAAATTGAAACTCAAGAAGCACTGCACAACGGGGCGGACAACATCACAAAAGTTCAATACGGCCTTTCTTCAGGATACTAACAAACTCAACAAATTCAAGGTAGTCCTCAGCAACAAGTTCCAGGCCTTTCATGATGTACTCAATGGAGAAGGAACTACTATGGAAAGCACCTGGAAGGGGATCTAAGAGGCAATTACTTCAACATGTCATGAGGTCCTGGGCCACAAGAAGCACCACCACAAGGAATGGATCACTGTTGATACACTAGAAAAGATTCAAGAAAGGAGGGACAAGAAGGCAGCAATCAATACCAGTCGAACAAGAGCAGAAAAAGCCAAGGCACAAGCTGAATACACAGAAATAAACAAACAAGTGAAGAGGAGCATCAGAACTGACAAACGTAAATACGTGGAAGATTTAGCAACGACGGCGGAAAAGGCTGCAAGAGAAGGAAACATGAGACAACTGTATGACACGACAAAGAAACTCTCTGGAAATCGCCGCAAAGCAGAACGACCAAACGCAACAACAAATGCAGGAGAAGACGAACAGTGTAGCAGCAGCCTCAGCAGCAGTAGGTCTCAATATACACAAAGGGAAAAGCAAGATTCTCCGATACAACACAGCATGCACCAATCCAATCACAATTAAAGGAGAGGATTTGGAAGATGTAAAAGCCTTTACATATCTGGGCAGCATCATTGATGAACATGGTGGATCTGATGCAGATGTGAAGGCGCTGATCGGCAAAGCAAGAGCAGCATATTTACAACTGAGGAACATCTGGAAATCAAAGCAACTGTCAACCAACACCAAGGTCAGGATTTTCAATACAAATGTCAAGACAGTTCTACTGTATGGGGCGGAAATCTGGAGAACTACGAAAGCCATCATCCAGAAAATACAGGTGTTTATTAACAGTTGTCTACGCAAAATACTTCGGATCCGTTGGCCGGACACTATTAGCAACAACTTACTGTGGGAGAGAACAAACCAGATCCAAGCGGAGGAAGAAATCAGGAAGCGCTGGAAGTGGATAGGACACACATTGAGGAAAGCACCCCACTGCGTCGCAAGAAAAGCCTTCACATGGAATCCTCGGGGCCAAAGGAAAAGAGGAAGACCAAAGAACACATTACGCCGGGAAATGGAGATAGGCATGATAAAAATGAACAAGAATTGGATGGAACTGGGAAAGAAGGCCTAAGACAGAGTGGATTGGAGAATTCTGTTCTGCGGCCTATGCTCCATTAGGAGTAACAAGCGTAACTAAGTAAGTAAGTAAATAAGTAAGTGATTGTCTTAGTGGTAGTAGTAACTGTCTTGAATGCTGTTTGTAGGATTAACAATCCAGATAACCTGATTTTTCTAAGTTCATTCAACTCATGAGAAAATACAGTATCAGAGTCCTATCTCTTATATTTTAACGATCCAAAAATCTGAAGATAACTTTTACACAATATCTGAAACCTGATCATTCTACACGTCATTCTAAAACATTTCGAAAAAATGACTTAAAAATCAGTTCGGCATCCATTTCTTCATCACTTTTCTCTCCATTTACATTTTATTTTTCATGTTTGTGTCTGGCACATTACACCAAATATTTCTACTACATAAAAGAATATTGTTATCGAAAATAAATTTAAATTAAATCAAATGGTAGCCGCGTTCTAACCACTAATATATTCTAGGTTTACGAAAACGTGAAAAATATCACTAAGTACTTATTTTATGTTACAAAACGGTAAAAAAAAATCTAGTAATATATATCTGTTTAAAGGTAGTATATATTGTGACGCACGACCCAAACTCAAGCTGAGCATTATATATAATATACGAAACGTGGTGGACAAAGGGCCGTTGGCACAACGTTGAAAATGATTATTTGGCAGATTTCATTGGTTATAATCACTGAAGTCACTATGTAAGCAAATGTGACGAAGTTCCAGAATCGTAACACGACACTACCTAGGGTTTGGATTAAACCCGATTAAAGCAGATTGGATAAGTACTCAGTATTTAGGGTGGATTCTAAGAAAACATAAAGATAAACACCAAGTTATGTCCACGTAATATTCGTTGAAATGACCATTTCACACACATTGTGAAAGTACGTCTTCTAGAGTTTTGCTTTCCAACACAAATATCATAGTGTCTTTGAAAACATCTGAGGATGTAAAAACATACGGGATTCAGTAATTTCCAGAAACTATGGACACTACTGTAGTAGTTTTCAAGCACACTGAGAATCAAACAGTGTAGCGAATCTATCAGAATTACCGCCAAACTAACAGCAGATTCTAGCACTAACTGGACAAATAGTTGTAGACGGAATAGAAGAAACGCTTAACTAGATCCCGTACCTAGTAGCAATGGATCATTGATGTCCCAAGGTGAAAACCTGGGTCTATTTAATGATGAACAGAGAAGTATTAATAAATTATAGTGAAATATTGTTCTGAGTCCCTGAGACTCTGTACAGTTTCCTCTTGACCTATTCCTGAAACGTCTCTCGAACCACCTCATCATGCAAGGAGTTTTGGTATTTGGATGCTCGCAACTGGTGCAAATTGGACCCATGGTCCATTCTGTCATGTTGTGTCTGTTGTTCTATGGGTGTTTGTGGAGATAGGCCTGACAAGCTTATTTTGTAAATAGTTTTCAATGTTATTTGTATTTATTTTGTCAGGCTTCCACTGCATGTATATTTAACATTAAATGACTGTAACTGTTGTTTTAGTAAATGACCTTCAACACACTCCGTTGTGATTCTAACGTAGCGTGACATATTCTTGCTGGTTAACAAATACATTACTACTCACACATCCCTTGTTCTATTTTCGTTTGTGATTGAGTTAGCTGAAGTCTAAATCAAATATTATTATTTATAGACTGTAATTGGAATATATCATATTCTACGTGGGATTATATCACTATAGAGTTCGCCAACCTGCTCAGAATCACCAAGCATTTATAATTGTGGATTTACATTACCGGACCTAATCAGAACACGCAACGTTTGGTCAATTTAAGTAACGTCCCAAATTTTTGTTGTGTTTGTAACAATTAACTGTATATATCAATATTACTATTGATCTTTAGTAATTTTGTTTATACTTTCCGCGTTCATATCTGTCTGGTCCACCACATGTTACTCTCAAACTTTGTGTTTGGACTGAGCGTTTGTACTGCTCTAAGTCATTAAACTGAAGCCTCTGTAATGACTCACTTTAATCACGAGAACACGATTGGTTTATTGAAAACAATTATTATTAAAAACAAGTGTGCCAGTGACTGATTAATTTGCTTTTTGTTTAACTGTGCTAAAAACGTCCAACATACTTAGATTGTGACCTCGCGCGAACTCGGTTACGTTGTGTAACAAAGCTTATATCCTGGCCACGCTAAAATTCTGACTAAAGTCTCGGTGATTTCAGGCACTCGTCACTAACCCACTGGGGGGGGAGTGATCTGTAGCGGTAAATAAATCCCTGAAATAAATAGCTCTGTTAGTTTTCGACATTGGATGCTGACCACATGTTTTAGTGGACTCATCTAGCTGAAGGCGCTCGGTCAGGCATCCGTACCAGATCACGTGTGGTAAAGCCGTGCTCAACATCTACCGCAATCGCTAGGTAGATTAGATCAGAGAATTCCGATATATTGGTTATTGCCAAATATACTCTTCCGATCTCCTCAACTCTGTCTTTTGATTTCTCTGGGTGGGAACGAATCATACTGGAAGGTGTTACTGGTAGGAGCCTTGTCAAACACTGAATACCTGTGTCATCTTCATCTTCTGGTATACTTCTGTGTCTTTATATCTTTGTCTCAAGACGTGTTATAATCCTCGAGTAGATTACCCGATGAATAAACCCATTCATCATCGTAGTCTGTTTGATCATGGATTCCGAACGTGCTTGCTTCGTCTTCTAAATTTTCTATACTTATATGAATATATTTCTCTAGCTTGTATGGACAATAATAAATGCACCATTTTTCTACTGTAATTTATCTGAGAATTCGCCTAGACGTTCTTTTTCGGGTTTTGTATAAGTTGATGACTAAAAATTATCGGTGAAAATTTAAAAGCTAGCCAATAAGAAATGAAGTGAAATCGTGACAAAATCCATGAACTTACAGTTTGTAGTGGTAGGTTAATTTTAGCATTGAAAAAATCCCTAAAATCAATAGTTCTATAAATCTTTCACATTAATGATAACCCTTCCCTATCAGAAGGCGCACTGCAAACATCCGAACTATATGGCAGTTGTCTATATCGTGCTGGGCATCTATCACAACAACCAGTCTGTCTAGAATACGTGCTTTTCAACACATCGACAGTCTCTAAATTATATCTTCAAACCACGTCATTACAACTTTTTGACGAGCCTTGAAATCAATGGTTAGCAAGGATTTGCATCGTTGTCCACCATGGAATATCCATGATATCTTTAAACTAGCAGAATAAACTATTCTAAACGTTCAACACCGATATCAACCTTGCTACTTTCGAGGTACACTAATAGTTGAGGCGGCCTGGTGAAATATGATGACCATATCACAAAACATTCCGATGTGTGGTGGTGTTCTCAATTGACACATAAAGCCTAGAAGTTTTTTATACTCCTTTGCTCTCCTCCAAAGATAACATTCCGCGTCACAGAATATTTCCACGACTTTTAAGTTTTTAAAATGACGAAGATCTCAACACAAGAAGGATTACACGTCTAGCCACACATATTCTCCTACAAAGCAATTTTGCATAGTAACTAACAACGGACAACATAATGACGTTACATATAGACATGAAATAATAACTGTAAACGTTGGAGCAATATCAAACTTATTGAGCACGTTGTAATGTGAGCGTAGAGTATCGCACGAAGCGTGTCCTTCGTCCAATGTGTAGCGTCAGCACACTATTGACATTTCAATTGGGCTTTTGATTTCCCGCCTTTAGGTCTCTAGTGTTGTAAAACACGACGATGAACTGCAGGAATCTATATTTCCTGTGACAAACCACAAAGTATTTACATAATACAAATACATAACTATTGATCTTCAATTCACATATTTCAGTATATTCTGCCACGTAAACTGTCTGCTCGTCTGGTTTCCCAGTCAACTCCATGTTCCTGATATGCTAGGACTCCTCACTTCATCCTACTTGTTGCAACGTCAACACTGCGTTCCGCCGCGCACTACTTGCAGTCTTGCGAGTTGCGTCCACTACACCCGCTCCTCACTGATGTCGAGCCTTCGTCGCTCCATCGACACACCGTGTTATATAAATCTGGTGGCTGCCCAGTACCTAGGACGTCCTACGTCTCTTCTCTATTTACAGCAACTTCCACACCCAACACTGCCTTGCCAGACTTCTCCCCTCGACGTTTCTTATATGCACTAAAATACTCGAGACAACGTCTAATAAACTAAACACTCATCAATATGGAGTCAACGCTCCCAATTCTTCCTTTTCTCAGGGCAAAACAGACAAACCACTCGGTTTACATCATACCTTTCTACTAGACAAACAGTCACCGTACCTGACACTTATGTTAATCAACGCTCGATCTGTACAAAGTAAGATGACTTACCTACGCACCCTATTGCTTTTAAACAACCCCTCACTTGTTTTGATAACGGAAAGTTGGCTGTCCTCCGATACCACAGACACATTTCTACAAATAGACACTTATGAGCTCTTCCGCTGTGATCGAGTCACCAAGAAGGGTGGTGGTTGTCTCGTTTATGTATCAAAAAATTTGAGAGCGGAAACCTATAGCGACCACGTCCTCCGCAAACTTCCTGAATCGATATGGCTTACTGTGCACACTCATGAATGTAAAATACTAATCGGATGCATATATCGAGCTCCTAACACTCCTAGTTCAACTGACACTATTATAAGTTAGTCATTTGCTCAGGCTGCCTCGCTTGACTTCACATACAAAATTGCATGTGGTGATTTCAACCTTCCCACCATCAACTGGAAGACACATTCTGGCCCATTGTGCTTTGAAAGCATACTTAGGTCCTTAGACATACACGGCTGGCAACAACATGTACACCTGCCTACACGAAATCACAACATTCTTGACTTGATATTCTGTCATAGTGTCACACCAACATCAATGGTGGTTAGCGAAAAGTTTCACAACAGCGATCATAAAATAGTTCTCTGCACCCTTCCGATTCTTGCCATATGCAACAAATTAAAGACATTAAAAACGCGATTCCAATATAGAGACTATGCAAACGCTGACTGGGAAAACTTTCGATTTCTAATAAAGCACTCTGACTAGGGCAGTTTCTTTACCAGTAATAACCTCTTAGAAACATTAGAAATATTCAATATCACCACCAAATCTGTACTAGACACCACTATACCCTCTAAAATTGGTTTTAAAACAGTTACTCCCTATATAAACCAAAAGACTAGGTCTAAACTGAGAAAACTGAAAAGGATGTACTATATATCAAAAGACTTCAGTGCCCTGCACCAGATATACTCTGTACTTGACGGAGTACAAAGTCAACACAACAAGCATAAACAGGTAGAGGAACGTACTGCGCTCGCTGCTGCATCTAAAGCCCAAGCCCTATGTCGTCTCCTCACGAAACGCATAAGAAAGAACACAGACAACAACATTCACTCCTTACTGCACGATGGAGTAACGTATAATGACCAAACCGTCATATGTGAACTATTAAGTGAGTGGTTTTCTCACAATGGGAATACATCTGATGCCCCAGATATCGACATAAAGTGCACCGGCAAAAACTATCTTAGTACCATAAACTTCGACATTAGGAATATACATACCGCCATTAAAACCCTTAAGCCAAATGCGAGCTCTGGTGCCGATGACATCCCTTCAATCGTTTATAAAATGTCAGGGCCGGACATACAGACGCTACTACTCAAAATATACACATTATCTTTAGAGACAGGTACATATCCGGAAACCTGGAAGGTAACGTATATTCTTCCCAAACACAAATCCGGACCGAGAAACCTGGTAGAAAACTACAGACCTATAAATATCACTCCAGTCATATCACGCATAATGGAAAAAGTGATACAAAATCGACTATCTGATCACCTACTCAAGGAAGATCTAATAGACCCGTCACAACATGGCTTCATTAGAACAAGGTCGTGCAGTACATGCCTGATAGACTTCTTTAACAAGGTTACTCGTATGCGTGACCAGAAGAAACTAGTTATTATACTATACTTCGATATTAAGAAAGCCTTTGATAAAGTACCTCATAATC